ATTGTTTTTTTTTTTTTTTGGAAAACTATCGTAAAATTAATCCAGTTTGCTTCACTGTTTTCAATTTCTCTGGAAATATTTCAAATTTATTCTGGAAATGTGTTCAATTTCGGATTCAAAACAATCCCTACCCAGCACCCAGTCGTCGCCGTCGGCCTGGTACTCCACCACGAAGTACAGGATGGGGCAGTCGTTGTCCTGCCAGGCGGGCAGGTGCAGCGTGGCGGCCGTGGCGTTGACGAGCAGGAACTGCGACTGTGGCGCGGCGGCGGGCTTGCCGCCCTTGGTGGTGGCGGTGCGCAGCGCCGAGGCCGCGCCGCTGCCGATCTTGTTGAAGGCGGTGAGCGTGAACTGGTAGCGCGTGCCGCAGTGCAGGTTCGACAGCAGGTGCGTGGAGGCGCGCCGGTCCAGGGCGGCCTCCTCCCACTCGCCCAGCTCGCGGCGGAACGCCAGCACGAAGCCGCGCACCGCCGCGCCCCCGTTGTCGCCCTGCTTCCACTGCAGCTGCACCGTGTCCACCGTCGTGGTGGTCGTCAGAAGCAGCGGGGCTGTCGGCGGCACTGCGGGGCAAACGCGCGGCATGGTCATTGTTGGTCTTTACAGGTATAATTCTGCTTGAGAAAGAGTTAATAAAAGCGTCCATGTTGTAAACGTCAAAGTCGGTCGGGACTCACCCTGCACCTGCAGCGAGTACACGATGGCGTCGCTGCCGGCCGCGTTGCTGGCGTGGCACGAGTAGTTGCCCTCGGCGGTGCGCTGCAGGTTGGCCAGCAGCAGGTGGTGCTCGCCCTGGCCGCCCTGGCCGGGCTGCGGCTGCGGGTCCAGGCGCACGTCGGCGTGCCTCCACTCCACGGCGGGCGGCGGCGCGCCCACCACCAGGCAGGCCAGCGTCACGTTGGTGCGGTGAGGCAGCACCAGGCTGCGTCCCCACGACACGATGCCGGCGCTCACTGCACAGCACAATGAAAAGTGAGTCAAGTGTAGAGGAAGTCCCACTCATGGCTTTACTTTCAATCAGGATATGCCTATGTGTTATCCGATACAATGTAAGTTTACACGAAATGACGAGAGATACGTAGAGAAGTTACGCCATTTATGAAACAACCTGGTGCAAACACACGCAAATTTTGTCGAAATAGAAAAGATCCAAAACGCCAAATCCACAATTATTTTTGACCCTCTAGACGGTTTTGGTCTTTCCAGTAAAGAATGCGCGAGACAAATTATCCAAAACTTGAGGGAGAAAGTTAGGTTGGTCGGTCGAGAACACGAAACTTACCGGAAGCCCCGGGACTGGGCGAGAGCGGCACGGTCCGCGACTGTCGGCCGGGCCCCACCTTGGTGGAGGCCGTGACCCACGCCTCGTACGAGTGCTCGTGGCTGAGGTCCTGCACGTCGTAGTGCAGCTGCGAGGCCGGCACCGTGCCCTTGACGACGGGCACCCGGTCGCCGACCTGGCGCACGTGTACCGTGTACTTGACGATGCGGCCGTTGGCGCGCCGCGGCGGCGTCCAGCTCAGCACCGCGCTCTTGGAGGACCGCACCACGGCCTTGACGCGCTCCGGTGGCTCGGGCGCTGGCATACAAAACAAAGCTAAATTATTCACAGTTTTGGAGGGGCTTGTAAAGAATTACCACACCCCCCACCCTGCTCACAACCAAGGATTTACAGGAAGAGTATTCTTGGAAAATTTTGTTTGAATGTCTGATTTTTAAAATAAAAGTTTCATTTTTTTCAATTTTTTCTGGAATTATTTCAATTTTTTCCGATTTTTTCTAGCTTTTAAAAACATTTCTAGGAAAATTGCGGACAGTGAAATGTTAACTCACAACCGTGCACTCTGACCCGCCCCCGACTCACCGGCCTCGTCCGTGCTGCAGACGATGGGCTTGCTCGGCACGCCGTCCCCGGCGCGAGTGAAGGCGAGCACCTGGATGGAGTAGTTGGCGGCGGGCACCAAGCCGTGCAGCACCGTGTTGGTGGACGTCATGGCCTTGCTCTCACGCGCAGCGCTCTCTGCGAGGAGGAAAACGAAAACGTCAGGGCGGGAACCGAACTGCTCTGGAAAGTGAACTTCCTCGAATTCGTGGCATGAATATGATGTACTCAGAACGGTAAGTACAATATAACTGTCCCATAGGTAGCAGAAACGCGCGTGTAGACTGTCAGTCGTCTCACTTACACGAACTGTGGCACAATCATATGTCTCACTCACAATGTCTCTCACAGACGTTAGACACCTGCTACACTGTCACACTACGTACCCGAGGTCTCGTCGTCGTCGGCCGGCTCGTGGATGAGGCGGTAGCCCTGGATGATGCCGTGCGCCAGGTGCGGTGAGGGCGGCAGCCAGCCCACCTGCAGGTTGTGCGCCGTGAGCGCCGAGCACTGCACCTCCCGCGGCGGCCCACCGGGCGCTGCGACACGGAAAGAACACAGTTTTATATTTGGCAACCTAGCACTCGTTTCGACTGACTTTTCCAACGTTTGGTCGCCATCGCCAGTTAGACAGTGACAGTAAACCGCGGCATCAGCAGGCTCCATTTAGTTTTTTGCAAAATGGGGATACAATGCCCGCGGCGGCACACCCTGAGCATGATGATAGCAATGAGAATATTTTTCCTGCCGTTATTTACTGTTGCGAGCGACCTTCTCGTCCTCGCTCTCCTGTAATTCTACTCGATATCGGTGACGGCGCCGCCCCTCGCAGCCCTGCGCGCGCGGCTCGGCCGGTGGCGGTGCAAAGTTTGCCCAATGACAGACAGACCGGCACGAATGGAAATATTGACAAGTTTTGAAGGGAGAGAGAGGAGAAGAAAACGCGAGCGGCGAGCGGCGGGGTGCTGGGGGAGATTGAAGAGAAAAGTTCGCCAGATCTTTCACCAATTACTAAACTGGAGGAGGGGGGCGAGGGGCGGGCGGTCCTCGCGGCCACCCTGGAGACTCAGGGGGCCGCCAGCGCCAGCCCAGCCAAACACAACCGTCAACTTATTCCTTTCATCCCATCCTCGACTCGGTCCGGCAGAAGTCCATTTGAGCAAAAAGCCCCGGCCGCGGCCCCGGCTATGCCATACAACCGCTGGTCTCGTGAACGGGGACACTCAAGCGTGGAGGAGAAGCACGGCGGCGGCGGCGAGGCAGCTCGGCGCCCCGGTCCAAGTCCTCGCGAACACTCGCCCGGCGCATGTCACCATTCCCGTTCCATCATCGTAATGATGATAATGCGAATATTATGGGATCTTTCTTTCTTCTGTTGGAATCCTCCTCCCGACCCTCATGCTGCTCACCGTCCTCCAGCGTCTGCGCGATCACCACGGGGGACTGCGGGCCCTCCCCGCGCGTGTTGAAGGCCTGCACCACGACCTGGTACTGGGTGTACTTGTCCATCCCGGAGAGTCGAAAGTCCCCCGACACGTCGCCGGTCATCGACACCCGCGTGTAGTTGAACGACTCCTCCGCCGACCTGCAAAGGGGCATGAAGAACAACGATAAATACTGGATGGAAAGTTTCCTATACATGAAAGTCGTTGGCCCGCCTTTAAACTGAATTGGCTATTGCACATTCTTAACGAAGAAGGCCCACTTGAGACATGAGACGTTGCTGAACCAGGTGGCTGATTAACCACGCGCACTTCTGTATGTGACCCACGGTGTGGGTCACGCCGCACTGAACGTGTTAACCACGCGCACTTCTGTAGTTATGGTGTATGTACTGCATTCCTAGGTGCGGGCTCGCTCGGCTCGTAAGGCGCCGTGGACAGGGCGATAGGCAAGCCCGCCTGCTTGCACTTCTGCGTGCGCAACAACATAACTACAGAAGTGCGCGGGGTTATTCAGTCACCTAGTATGGTTCTTGCCGGAGGTCGCAGACTAAATAAATCTGAGACTCTGGGCGCAGTCTGGGCCGGGTCTCCAAACTTATGACTCCAGACTTATACGACTTGATTCCAGATTTCACAAAGTGATACGTACCCTAGGTGTCGGAAGCCGATGACGTAGCCCAGAATGTCTCCGTTCCACAGGGTGCGGTCGGGCGGCTGCCAGGTGATCCTCAGCTGCGTCGAGGAGGCCGCCTCCACGGACACCTGCAGCGGCGGCCCGGCCGGCACCTCGCTGTCCGTCACGGCCTGCGACAGCACAAGGGTGTTCCTGACAGTGCGCGCGGGGCGCGGCGGGCGCGGCGGGCGCAGCTTGTGTCACCTGTTGAGCGCCCCCCTAACCCCCGGCCGCCCCGCCGCGGCTGTCTCCGCCTATCCGGGCTCGTTGGTATTCATTTCGAGGCGCGCCAGCAGGCCAGCACGCCGACCGGTGCAAGACGCGCCGAGGCGGGCTCAGCGGCGCGACGGGGACCGTCACGTGACGGCACGTCGTCGTGCGCCCGGCGGTAAATAAAAATTGAAAATCCGCGCCAGTAACTGCGCTGCCGAGAGAACGCAAAGCAGGCAGCCCTGCTAGTGGGCAAGGAGGCTCGACTGAGATTAAAACTTTCTGGAAAAGTTAAAAGAAAAACGTTCCTTTCCGGAAAATTTTCCTTGAATAATAAAAACCAAAATCAGGCGCTTTTTTCAAAACTTTCATC